GGAATGGTTGCGCTTGCCGCACCTGAAGCCCATTGTATTCGTTCATTCCGAGGCTATTCCCGAGATGGCTAGCTGGGGGACGGTAATATGAGAGTAGGCCTTGGCGCGACTCTTCTACATCACCCAATCGATGGGAAGATGGAGCTCTCAAATTTTGTTAATAATGAGAGCAAAACTAAAATTGAGCCAAAGGGACTAAAAATAATAAGAAGAGCAAGAACAAAGAGAATTTTGCTATTTCATTAAATCCCATCGGAATTTAAATTGACAATTGAACTCTTCATTTTAATTATTTTCAATAATAGAATTAAAAACAAGGAAGATAATTAAAAATAATAGAAGAAAAAAAAAACAAAGGAATATTTGTTATTTAATTAAATTTCGTCGGAATCTATTTCTGATGAAATCGGTCTTCATTTTCGTTTTTCTCGATGGCCGAACTAAAAATGAGGAAAATAATTAAAAAAAAAAAAAAAAAAAACTAACGATTATTTAATATTTGATTAAATTTTATTTGAATTATTCGCGATGGGTTTTAATCCCGGGTTATTCATTTACCCCGATTCTAACGATTCTTTCTATTCCTCGATAATCGTGAGCCCTCGCGTGATATACTGGATTTATGTGATTTACTTGATTGCTGTAATCTGGGTGTTTGGAGTGAGTGGGACCGTATGGCCGGCGTGGTGTCGCCGCTGGTACTGTTTTGGTATGTTCCACTCAGCCTCATTGCTTCAGTGTGGTCGTTGGTTCGGTTCAGACACACAGTTCGGGGAGGTTCCGTACTATTACGAGGTTGTGACATTCTACGATATTCGACATATTTCAGGCTCGGTATTGGTTCGACATCGACATGTTTCAGGCTCGGTTTTGGCTTGGCATCGGTGTGGTACACGCCACCGCATTGTTTTCAGGTTCGGTATTGGTCCGCCATCGGCACGGTACAGGTTACAGCGACTCCGATTGACTATTCCGGGTTCAGTTTACTTGCGTTGCTGCGGCTCCAAGTGGTAGCTTCAGGTGACTACTTCAGGCTTTGCATTGGTATGGCGATGGCACAAGCCCATACTGTTCGTAACAACTACTTCAGGTGCAATTAATGGGATGAACGTCTGCCGGCTTCTGAGGCTCGGTACATCAACCCAGGTATGGTCACGATGCAGGTACAGTTCGGGACTGTCCATACTTACTATTTTTGGCATTGGTATGACACCCACAGGGCTTGTTTTGAGACGGTACTGTACTTTGGACAGAGCACATTGTATTGGTGATAGGCTCAAAGGTCGAGGAGGATTCCCCCTATTGCTAGGGCCGCCTGTTACGATTTTCCGGTCCTGGTTTAGGCCAATGAATTAAGCTCTCGGTACTGATCAGAGAAACTGTTGTTGAATAGCCTGCTCACCCTACGCTGAGCATGCCAGTTCCTGGGTACCGTACTTTAGCCCTTGGGAGTCTGGTACCGGAGGACTGTTTGGGCCATACGCTCGTTTCGGAAAGTACCGAAACCACGGTCTCCCGCTGGGAAGGGAATATAGACTGAATGGCGAACGGGTGAAGACACAATATGCAAGGTGTACACAGCCCACTGGTGTGAGACACGGGAGGTGCAGGGGACACAGGAAGGGAGCTTAAGCAGGAAGGAGCGAAGAAGGTGGGGTGCGTGGCATACTCAGCCACTATCGCTGGCAGCGATTACCCCTGCCTAGAAACTCCCCGGGACAGTCAAGAGGTGGAAGATTTGCTTGTAATTGTTTCGTTAGGAGCGCGGTCAGGAAACAGGGCGTGAGTACGAGTCAGCTCTCTGTGCCCAGGGCAGATGCCGGTTCGGGACGAAGAGGACGATTGAGGGCGCGCCTGGTGTGCACCATCAGCTAAGGCACTTTGGTGAGGGCTTGGTGAGCAGAGGAAGAGGCACGTTCAGTTGTGCGGACATGCCCGGGTCGATCGATCACGTATTCTCTCGGAGCGATCAAGAAGCAGGCTGGATCGACCAACCTCGCTCGCGCGTTGAATACCTGTCGCGCTCTCCCGTAGGGACGAATAGAAGTTCAACTACTCAAACAAGCGTTGAGAGCTCGTTTCACACGGTGGCACATTGGTCGAGAGCATCATCTAGGAGTCTTCAAAGTGTGAGCGACTACTCCCTCGTGCCATGATCTCGTGCAGAGGGCAGAGGGCTGTGACATAAACCTCGCTCGTGAGCCGAATGCTCTGGCCCTTGGCGCGCAGGAACATCGGGGGAGCCAACTTGTAAACGCATTGTTTCCTTTTCTAGTGCTTCATTGACTGAGCGGAGGAGGGGTCCGACTTGCAAGCAAGGCTAGTCAACAGAGGGAAACGTGCAGCTCCGCATAAGGAGGGGGGGAAAGACCCAAGGGAGTTGCAGGCGTGGAGTGTATGCGACATCACAAGACGAGTGCGAAATCAACTGGCGGACCACAAATATGAAGAACGACGCACGACGAGCGTTTCCTGTTTCGAAAGGGCTCACACTTGAATGCGTGACTGACCTATCAGGCATCGGGTTCCCGTATCTTAGTAACAGCTGCCAGGTCCGAGGGAAACGAGGATATGAGAAGTGCAGCATCATCACTCTCGGTTGAATGGGCAAAGTTGACGAAAACGGCAGAGAATTTTCATATGTGCTCACAGTAAATTTCTTCCCTCAGTCAACGGGACACTCCGAGGAGTGAGTGTACTGAGAATGTGTGGAATGTGTGTGTATCAGCGAGGGAAAGTGAGAGAAAGAAGGAGAGAAAGATCAGCGAGAGAGAGAGATTGAAAAAGAGGCGACGAAGGATACTCTGCCAGAAGGGGGGGGGTAAATATGTTTCAACATTATGATTGTGCGTTTAACCACCAGTGACAGCTCGCGAGTATATACCCACCCTGGGGAAGGGGCTACTCAATTGGGGCACTGGCGTGTCACTGCATGAATCGAGAATAGCTTCGGAGTAAACATTCGTAGAAAAACTCGTCAATTGTTTCGCTGCTTACTAGAGTCCTTTGACTATCTTGCTGCCTCACTGCTTACGGTCAGGTTTGTTTGTGAATAGCCTTTCGATTGGCCTGCTGTCCATACTTGATTGAAAGGAAATTTCGGAAGTTTGGCTGTCTATTTGGGGTTGGTCTGTGCGCTATTCCGACAACTGTACCACGTGATAAACGAGCTGATAATTGATTTGTAGGCACACAAAAAACGAGCTTGTACATTGGCCCTCTAGACTCACTCAAAAACAGGACTGGGTTTTAGCTCTTTAATCTTCTGATTACCCCTTAATTGATCGAATTGAAACTCAAGAAAAAAGAAGAGGGGGAGGTAAGCGTTTGAAATTGGGTTGGGTTAGCCTTATATCATTTCTGCATATTTGTACAACTCTCTATACTTCCCGCTTTGCAGGGCAAAGTTGTTCTGGGTCAAAACAGCGTAGGAACTAGAATCAGGTCGAACAGGAGAAGGGAGAAAGAGGGGAAGAGTGTTCACGAATAAGTCTGTCCTGGGATCTAAATCTGGTCAAGTGATGGGAGGACATCGGTTGGGCAAAGAAAAAGTATATTTTTCGGGAACTGTGTAAGATCCCTCGACACGTGGGGAAGAAGACTGACTAACGAACCCCACAACCCTGCTGCTCGCTGAGGACCTCGGAAGCGGGCGCGGTGAGTGACAGGCGTCGTTGCCCTTGGCTTGAGCGAACAGTAGGCGCCCCTCCCCGGGTTTCCTCACACCGGGCCTTCCTGAGACTGGCCTCGTACTATCGTCGATTCATTTGGGACTTTGTGGGGATCGCACGGCCCCTGACGAATCTTTTGCGGAAGGACCAGCCATTGCACTGGGATGTGGGTTGCGAGCAAACTTTTTCTATATTGAAAATTGTCCTGGCCTCGACGCTCATTTTAATTCGGCCTGATCTGAAAAAACTTTTCATACTCATTACTGGCTGTGTTGTCCCCCGTACGTCCTACGGGGGGTTTCCGTATGGCCCGTCTGTACGGACGTATGGACGCCCGTACGGCCGTACGGACGATGGTCGTACGAAGGTGATTAGGGGGGCAAAAAAAAAACAATAAAAAAATAAAAATATATGGGGTTGTAGATCTTTTCAAGATCTACAACCCCATATTTGTTTTCTGTTTTTTAACGTTTCGAAGGATTTTAAAAAAATCAAAAACAAAAAAGACGAGGAAAATCAAGAAAAAAAAAGAAAAAAAGAGAAAAAAGAAACTCCTA